TCTCTGACCTTCTGACTTACTGCAGCATAAAAACTTACATACTATACTCTACACATTACTATACTATACTCTAATCTACTCCACTGTGCTATACTTTACTACAACACCATATAGCACAACATGTTGCAGCCATGTTGGGGGTCTGTGGAGGACCAGGTCGTCGACGCGTCTTGTGGCAGAGACTCTGGGCAGACGAGCGGCGCGTGGTTCGAGAGTAGATCCCCACCGGGATCTCCATGTCCTTCTTACAGACTCCCTTCTTTTCCCTCTCGCATGGCTGAGGAACTATGCCCACTAGCGAGGTTGTACAGGTGCTAGCCTTCTAGGGTTTAGGGTTTAGGAGACTTCTTTGGAAACCTACAAGAAGTAAAGAAAGGGTCCCTAACATTGGCCGAGTGTCGGGTGAAAGAACCAGAGGCAACCGCACCTGCATGCGCGCATTTTCGGAAGGACGCTTGATGGAACCCACACTCCCAAGTGAAGTGCAGTTTCACTTGCATCGGCGATACATGCAGCCCACCTCGCACGAAGGCTCTGATACTTCTCTTTTTGCCGCCGCTTCAAAAAGGATCTGACACTCAGGACTCCGGGGCAACGGACTTCAGATCCAAATCCCAAGCGTTGGCCAGGGTTTGCCTAAGCCAACTTCAAGGAATCGACGATACCATCCAAATAAGCCTTGTTGGCCGTCCCCTGACCAGGGGGAGGATGCACGGAAGGGCTCCGGGTTGTCCTTACGGTAGACTTTGAGGGGTTCGGATTCAAGGAGAAGTTCACGCCCCAAAACCAGGGCTTTCCATGGCTCTTCCATACCATGGGAGTTTGGATTAGGGGGACCCTTGGGGATATAGACCCTCTCAATAAGGTCCCGTTTAAGAGAGCCATAAGTAGGGTTAAGAAGGGTCCCCTTTAAGGGGTCTCCCTAATCCTACTACTGAGGATACCCAGGGCCTGATACTCCGGCAGCACGTGCTTCTCCGTTGCACTCAAGTAGGCTGCCACGATCACGCCTTTACTCCTCAGACTGGCTTGGGTTTAGGGTTTAGGGTTTTGGACTTTTTTGCATGTGACTTTTCCCGATCGAAGGACTTAAAGTCCTCAGTGCAGAGTGGTTTTTTGACTGAAGGGACCTCAAAACCGAGATTTTCACGAGGCCGCAGCTTCGTTCCGAGGTCCCTTGTCGACAGCAAGCTGCCCAAGAGCCTGTTGTTGGACACTGCAGCCAAGGGTCAGGATGGCCTTGACGCGCCAGTATCTGTTCTGTGCCACCACCCCACTCTGTCCCATCGACCGCGCGGCTTCCGCGTTGAGAAACTTTGTCAGCACCTGCAGGAAAGGGTGGGTCAAGGCTGAGAAGGAGGAGCTGAAAGGTGAATTTCCGCAACACTCTTGACAGGCTGCGCGAAAAGAGAGAGCTGATGCTGGGCCCTCGTCGGTGATGTCCTGGGAGCAGCTTTGAGTGCAGAAGGACTTGTGGATTTCCACGAAAACCATGTTGATGGTCACTCTACGAAGCTAGTCTCACAAAAAAAGGACTGGAGCATCTACAGGTGAAGATGAACTATCAAATGCACTTTGCTATATACTGAATAGTATATACCATAAGTATGCAGAGTATATACTATTATTATAGCAAATTATAGCCAGCCTTATAATGCAAGGACTGCAAGGACATACGAACTCCTTGAGTTGCACCAGGCCGATAACCTTAAACGCCAAGCTCTCAACCTCTCTTGAGACCGGAAGTACCGCAAACCCCAACATCCGGGCTTACCCCAAAATCTCTACTTGGAGGTTCATGGATGGGGAGTCTCAAGTAGGGTTATAAGTAGGATAACTATAGCAAGAACCCATATTTTACAGGTCTTCTAACCCCACTTAAAACTACCCGAAACCCTAAGCCCTAAATCCATGAACCTCTGATGAGAAGGGGCAAAAAACGACTAAGCTCCGACGCCGAGCCGGTTCCCCGAACCTAGACTACAGTGTTTGTTGCTTAGGGTTTGGGGTTAAGAGCCTAGAATTGAAGGGTATGAACCCCTTATTATAAAACCCCCTTGCAAAGACACTGTAATGAAGCCTGTACATAACTCAAGGCGACGAACCCCTATGAAGCCCAATACGAAGCCCTTGTATTTTCCGCCTCAAAAATCCCTTTGCATCCCTAGGAGAAAAACCTGTAAAACTTCTGAGGGCTATGAATCCCAATGAAACCCTACATACAAAAAGCCTATAAAACCTCATCCCTCGCCGCTATACATTGAGGGGTTTTTGGACCTCTGAGTGACTGAGCCGCAAGATCCAACAGAGCCGAGGCCGACTGCAGGCTGCCAACGCTGGCATTAAACAGGGAGCCGCCTGTGATGCTAGGGAGCGTTTTTTTGAGCTCCTTGGTACACTTCTCGAGGGTTTTTTCCCTCTCGCATAATCTCGAGGGTTTAGCATTTAGGGTTTGGGGAGCCATCTGTGATGTTGGGGTGGTTTCGCGGTGTTTTTCGGACTTATAGGGTTTATAGGCTTAAGGGCTTTACGATTCCTGGAGTTTACCGGATTATAGTTTATAGGTAGCGGGTTCTGGGGTTTAAGTTGCTAAGGTCTTTGGGTTAGAATTGTTTAGGGATTTCGGCGCGCACACTTGGACAAGCCAGGCGAGGTTAGTGGAGCGTAGTCCGTTGAGGAGACACATCCAAGACTGCTCGACTAACATCAAGCGAATACATAGGCATTTCGAACATGTTTGGATTTTTAGATTTGGGCCTCGCTACAGCCGCTACAGGTATAGAGTCATTCAGCACAATACCAGGGTGAGCCAATAAGGCGGTTTGAGAAGGAATCTTAACGCTCCATAAGTGAAACATGCGTGCGTTAGGCCGATTCAGGGTTTAGGACGGGAAGGGGTGAAGGGTTCAAATACCATCAGCCGCCTGTGATGCGGAGTTTAATCTTGAGTGGTACAGGTTAAGTGGGGTTTGTAGCTTTTACATACGTACTCGTACTGATTGCTTGGGGTTCAGGGTAGAAGCCTGGAGCTATTAAGAACTCGACAGAATTGCAGACCTGCCTACCGACCGGCCGCAAAAATGCATACCAAGACCAATGCAGCTTCTGCTGGCCAGCCGGTGGTGAAATTCAAAGTTCCAAACAAGCGGTTCAGGGCTTGGGTGCTGTTGGTGATCGTGATGGTGGTGGTGGTGCTGCTGCTGCTACGGAGGTGGCAGTGGGGTATGGCTGTGTCATCGTCGCCGCAGCGCTTTTTCTCAACCATTCCCTGTAGCTCTTTATGCCCCACAAGACAATGCGGGAATAGATGCCCGAGCGAAGATGCTTGCAAAAAGTGCCTTTTCGTGAAGCGATCAGGAGGATCGGTATCCCTAAACCCTAAACCCTTTTTGCCCTTAAACCCTAAACCCCTAAACCCTCCTTAAGCTGGCCTGCAATGGCCTGCTCCATGGACTCCGCACTCTGGAAGGTCTGCGTGTTGGGCGTCAAGAAAGGCCTCAGCTGTCAGGCCCCCCAGCGCATTTAGGGTCTAGGGGTTTAGGGTTTAGGGTTTCACCAGAAATTGCTGAAGAGCTTCAGAGGGCTGTTTCTGGACGGAAAATAGCAATCATCATTCTACTACTCATGACAATTAACTCACCATATTTCGCTGAAAAACTTACCTAACCGGCCCTCCTGAAGGAACGGCCCAGTGTGTTCTGGGACTTTGGGGGCTTCGAACGATTTCACCGCAGCACATGATCTCCCGCCAAGAACACTAAGAAATACGCAGAGGGCTATAGGGTTTAGGGTTTAGGGTTACAAGCGCCAAGTTTTGTGCAGTTTATATACAGTAGGGCGTCCCCGAACACAGCGGAAGTTAGAGCACGCGCCTCGCGGTCACACTAACCGCGCAACATAAGAAGCCCAAAGTGTTCTTACACTACCCAAGGCATCTATGTCATCGGTGCCGAGAAACTGAACTTTCTTAATTTGGCGGTTCAAGGTACCTCGATAGGAACTGAACCAGTAAATCGAGGATCAAATCCAGCTTGGGCACCCCAGCTATGAAACGAGTCCTCCACTCTAGCAATGTCGTCTAAAGCTTGGGGGTTTCGGCTGCGGGACGTCGAGCAGACTGTGGTGTCCCGGAAAGACCTAAACGCTAAACCCTAAACCTTAGACCCTAAACCCTAAACCCAATTACGTTGGGAAAATAGCTCCGGATGTCCGGGGGACCCTGCGCTGCCGAGATGCTGGATCAGCTCCAGAGCTACCTGCTCCTTCGTCAGCGGAGGCTGCGTTACCTCCGTTTGGCAGCCGAACTAAGGCGCTTTTCTAGGCTGGAAGGGTTTAGGCCGGTTATACGAACTCACAACTCGCACTTACCGGAGTAAGCAGATTCTAGGGTTTATGGTGTCTAATACTCTCTCACAACTCGGAGAAGCCAGGCGAGGTTCCATAGGTTCCAGTCGGCGTGATACTGGCACATGAACCCTTGACCACGACTATACAGACAAACAAAGCACAGCCAGAAATAGCATCCATTACACGTCGTGGTCAGGAGTTCAAAAGGAAACTAGAGGTGTTCATTTTAGGTGTACATCAGTGCCCCTGCGCGGCACAACAACAAAAGAGAGGGGCGAGGTGGGTACCATCCTTTGGATACCAAGTCAGTAGCAGGAAGGCCTAACCAGAAGAAAAGCAGATAACGCTACACGAAAGCGATATGAAAGGCCTCCCCATAGTGTCAAGGTAACTAGGTGCATCTCATTGGATGGTTTACTACTCTTCCAAGACAACCCTGGCTACAACAAACTTATCCCTAAGTGGAAGTACCCGGTGCTGCAGCAAGATTCGTACAAGGAGGCGAAACTGCTTCGACATGTCGGACAAACTAACAAGGCGGGTATCAGTACTTCTGGTTCAGGTTTAGGTCACATCTCGCATCCAGAGGGTCACCAGCAAGCTAAAACAAGGCCACATGCCTGAAAAAAGGCCGATCCGAAGCCAGGGACTGCTTCAATACCTTTTGTTGGAGGTTCTATGTCTTTTTAAGGGATCTGGGCAATCCTCCAAGATTGCGCACCCCATGAATATGTCAGGCCACATGACCCCTGAAACTCGAAAAGCTATCGACCATGATAGTTCAGTGTAAGGCAGGGTTTATAGTACAAACACGAAACCATGAACCCGCAGGTTACGCGACATGTTCGGCCACCTCACTGTATTTCAGCAACATGTCATCACAGGCGAGATGCATGGTTTGGGCAGAGTGTCATACTCTGAGCCTGTCAGCTTCAAACTTCCCTCAACTGGGCCGTCTGCTGCCTTGACGTGCCCTGTAGACACTTGGTTGACTCCCAGACCTTCCTCATTGGCTGTCGGCTTGCAGTGCTCTGCAGCTCCCAGGTCTATTGCTTTCAGCTGGGTCGGAGCACGCAGGTTCCCCCTCGGCCCGGCAGGGTTCCAAAACCCACGAGTCCAGCTCCTCTTGACGGCCAAATGCGGTACCGCTCAGTTTCTTGCAGGCATCCAAGCCAGCTGCGTCCAAACAGTCAAGGAAGACCAGGTCTCCCAAGTGTCAGATTTGCATAGTTACTCTAGTAGTTTAAAGGTGTTTTTTTATGGATCCTTATCGCAACAACCCGTTACAAATGGGTACTCCGGGATTGAAAAACCATGTCTTGTGGTTGATACTGCAGTATAGCACTTAGTCACAGTCTCTGTAAGCCCTCGTGCTTCCAACCCAAAACGCGATAAACCACCCCACCAGCACGGTACCCCACACCCTTAACCCGCCTGCCGCCCCACTCTCGTCTTGTTGGGGTGGGCAGGTGCTGGTCGAGCGATCAGCGAGACCCTGTGAGGGAGCCCCAGGTGGGCGACCGAGCCGGCCTCCAGGCTTGCCTACCCCTCCACAGCCCTCCCGTTCCCTGGTATTGCCCCAAAACCCTGGCTTCGCCACAATGCAGCAACCGCAGTAACAACAAGGCGAAAATCCGGCGCCGAAAACACACTCCTTCAGTCGTGCATGTATTCTCGCCTTACTTGTGCGAAGAAACATATAAAGTCGTATGCCTTGAGAGTTTGCGCGCGTCCACAAAACCGCGCTTTCGTTTGGCACACCCCAAGTCTTAAACCCTAAAACCCTGAACCCTAGCTATACACAAGACTCAACCCTGGGGCTCCCAGACTCCAATCAAGCCCCACAGAAACGAAACTCCAATCAGTTTTTGGGGTTTAGGGTCTGGGGCTTAGAGGGTTTAGGGTTTAGGGTTCAAGGGTTTTTTCCCTCCCCACTTAGCTAGGGTTCAGGGGTTAGGGTTTAGGGTTCAGGGCAGCTTCGGGTTTAAGGTTTAGGAGTTTAGGAAGAATACGAACAAGATCGAAGCCTCCGACCAGGAGCTGGTCTGCAGATTTGGGACTGAGCCGGAGAAGCGATCAAGAAGCCTCAGAAGTTTTGGATTCAAGGTTTGGGGGAAAGAGGATATCTATATGCATATATCTATATACATCTGAATGAACGAAAGAAGTTATGTATGTATGTATGTATGTATGAATGAATGAATGAATGAATGAATGAATGAATGTAAGAATGAATGAATGAATGAATGAATGAATGAATGAATGAATAAACGAATGAATGAATGAATGAACGTATGCATGTATGCATGTATGCATGTAAAAGTGTGTGTGTGTGCTTGCTTGCATGCATGCATGCACTTATGTACATACATGCATGTATGTTGAAGTGTAAAAAGCAGAAGGGTATTGTCGCCCTAGCAGAGGGCGGCCCGGAGGATCGAGGACCTTCCGCTCTCTTACCTCAATACAAGTCAAGAGGCAATGTCGCACTCTCTTCAAGTCTAGCGCAGCATTTTCCCACTTTTCGCATAGGCTGCAAGTGGCTCCAACTTGTTGTTGACAAGTGCCACGGGAAAGCGAACACGAATTCACCCTCAAGTGCTGAAGTTCAGCCCAACATTCTCTGGCGGGAAAGACTCGCGAAATGTTGTACGCGCTGCAAGCGCAAAAATCTTTGTACTAAATGCGGTCTCGGTTACCACTGGTTCTCCAACCCTCGAACAGAAGTCCCTACCGTACCTTGGAATGCGAAGCCTCCACAACGAGTTCCCAAACGAGGCCACTGGAAGCGTAACAGGCGCAGGATCGAGACATCACCGAAAGCGGCCCTGGAATGCTAACTAACTGAGAGCCGACACAGACCTCTTTAACCCGACCGCACGAAATATGACACACCTGTGACATGATGGCCCGGACATTTGGCCTGGCATGTAGAGAAAATGAAAGCATTTCCACCGCGACGGCTGAAGCTGACATCTTCGATTCTTCGCGCAACGCTCTGCGATTTAAGTTGATTTAAGTTCTTGCGCTCATCAAACTGGTTTGGGAGCGCGACCTTGCACTTGTACCTCAAGTGATTGCTGCTTCTCCGCCACGGATTTCTGGTTCATACAGGTCGAACAAGGCATCACTTGTTGGACCGTGATGACTCGTAAAGAGCACGGCTACCATCCGCGACTGAACCAGGGCCCTCACCGAGAATGTTGGGACCATGGGGTCTGGAGGAAGCCGGAGCTTCGAAGTCATTTGGACTGGGGAAATTTGAAACGCCGGCGCAGCGATCCACGCTCTGGCCGGATGTGCGATGTAGGGCGAGGCCAAAAGAGCACGTCTGCACTCTCCGGGACCATGCGCTGCCCCGTAACTTCTTCACTGCACAGCTGTCCCATGCATTGCGAAACAGGAAACAGTTAAAGGGAGATCCACATAGTCCTGCCCTTGCTTAAACGTCAACACATCTGCGGATGGGAAAACCGAGCAAGCAACAGCTCTGTGGACTCTTGCAGGCAGCCACAAGTCAAGACTTGAAGCGGCCTAGACTACCAAAAGATTCGGGATATGGTGATGCTCCACGCGAACTGTACTTTGACAAGGTGCCCTCTGGATCCTTCAAGCCCCGTGGAGTTGACGCCTTGCGGCAGCCTTCCTTGCTGCCTTCATCTCCGCGGCGATGTGATTCCTCCTCCGGCGAATCTCATGTGGGCGGCAGACATGGCAGTGAGTGCAATCGTCACCCTTCCTGCAGCCATCTCCTCTGCTTGTGAAGAAAAGGCAGGGGAAGCACCGGCCCTGGTTGTGTTGCTCAACCATGCGCAATGGAAACGGACCATGTTGCAGCACAAGTTTGAGCTCTTTCCGCTCATCCTCTTTGCCCACCGTCTTTACTTCCCCCGTAATAAGCTCGAAATGGATCTCCTGCCGATCCACGTTCGGATCTGCATGCGCTGGGTGGGCGACGAGCCCAGGAAGAAGGGGCTCTGCCCAATGTGGCACAGGGGCCGTAGCGCGGACGACGGGCTCTGCGAGGTTGGGGTGGAAGATCGGGGTGCTGCGAGGAATCGGCTCTGACGCCGCGTGGCTCACAAATGCACCGAAGCTCTCCTCATCCTCCGTCTCCTCCTCGAAGTCAAGCCCGCAGCTGGGGAGGATGGGCATACTGTAGCTTCGCAGCTGCTGGCTGGCAATCTCATCATCGGCCACGTCTGGGATAACCTCCAAGAATGTCCGTGCCACCCTTACCGCAAACTGCTGGTCCAGATCTGGCTCGTGGTGCTTCTCTTCGAAGTTCGGCTCTGCCAGAACAGCATAGCCTGGTGCGGGCTCTTCCTCGAGGTCCAAGCCCAAACTGGGGAGCGCCGGCATGGTGCGACTTCTTGGTTCCGGTGCTGGGCACATCTCAACGACTTCCAGGAACGTCCGGGTGACCCGAAACTCTGCGGTCTCCCAAGCCGTGCTGGCGAGCGACATGGCGGAAGATTGATAAGGCACCGGGAAAGCAAGAGGGACGTCTGAGGCCTCAACAGCAGAGCTTCACATGTCCAATCGAACATGGCTCTCCACGTTCTCGTCTCTCTAGAGCACTGACAGGATTAGCAGTCTAGCTAGCTAGCAGGCAAAACGGACATGAGCGGCACCCATCAGAAGAAGCACGACTTCTTCAGAACAGCGGTGTAAGCATGCAGCATAGCAGCACTTGCTGTGCACCTTGCTGTCGACTCCCCATGCCCTGCGCGACCAAACCGTCCCAACAAAATGGCTGGGCTCTCTGCCCGGAGTGTTGTACCAATGTTCGCATCAACCCTCAAACAAACAAACACATAACAACTTAGACATCACATCTGAATCTGAACACAGACAAAAGGACTTCTACCAACAAGCGGCAAAAACTAAAGACTGCAGGAGGTTTACAAGTCCGAAACCCCCTGTATACCCAAACCCAAAACCCGAATATACGGGCCTTCACACTTAGAATAGGGTTTTGGGGCCCATTATACCATAAATTTATAAGTAAGGAACCCCCCAACATAGCATATAGGCAATTATTTCGGCCAAACCTGCAAAGGCCGCAGCAGCCAAGCCGCTCGCTGAGCTTCAGCCTCTCAGCCTCGGACTTTTCCCCAAGGCTCTGTGGCAAAAATAGGGGCTTGGATACCTAGAATAAGGCTTCGGGGTATGGTATACTATAACCATAACGGGGAACCCTAAGCAACACCAGCCTTCTTCTGCAGATGCCCAGGACGGAAAATCGCTCGTGCAAGACAGGCAAGGCCATGCAAAATCCGAATCCCCTCCGCAAACGTGGTTAGTTGCTTTCGTCTCGAAGCTTGCGTTGCTGGCGCAGCGGTTTGGAAAGACTGCTGCTGACCCGACTTAATCTGCCTAGTTCCCTTGCGATCGTCAAACTCGGCATCCCAAACCCCCTTCAAGTCCAGAGATGGGGACAACAGAAGCAATAGTATACGTATTATTACGGAATATTCGAGCTTCTATGTTTGATTGACAGACCACGGGGCTCGAATCCAAGATCCCCAGATCATGCTCGGGCTCACACATGGACGGTTTCAGTGTGCAGGGTTTCCGGAATGCTGTATATTCGAACGTTTCTTGTAGCCTTCCGGTGCGTTGCGGCCCGGCCTTTTTGCATGTGTTTCCGCTCTGTCTCTTGAGGCATGGTCGGACGAAGTGTCGAGGTCTTCTAGTCATTCTAGAAGCTTCAGGATTTAGGGTTTAGGGCCTAAAGTTCAGTGCTTATAACGTATAAGAGTTTAGGATATAAGGTCATCATTCTTCTTGCTGCCCATTCTGGGAGCGGGCGCTGGCTGAATTTGTGCTCTGCGGCCTTACCTTGAACTCCTCAGACCCCCCTTACGGCTCAGTCTTGCTCGTTGTGTGCCGGCTTTCGTCTGCTGCCATGCCCCTTTTGTCGAGGTTTGCAAGATGTACTCGAGCATTGTGAGTTGTTTCTCGCTAGGTTCAGCGAGCAGTGTATGTGAAAACCCTACAAACTCCCAACCGAAATGCTCAAATGGCACCCGCAAGGGGCCTCCAAAGTGGCAAAGTCGTCAAAGCCCTGCGAGAGGAAGGCGCTGGCAGAAAGCAGGGTTTCGCTAGTGTCAACCTCGGATGCATCAGGTGGGTCGTGGGCTTTGGGATAGGTTCAGTCTTGTGCAGACAATCCCTCTAATTTCTGGAGAGCTGTCGAACTTCACATGCGGTCTTTGTGTTACTGATCTTCCCGGGCTGTGGAAAAGCTCCCATCAGAACCTTATAAATCCGAGTCACGAAACCCTGCCGGCCTAGCGTTTCGAGCTGCTGCTGCTGCTGCTGCTGCTGCTGCTAGCTCTGATGAACCCATGACACATAAGGAAAATTCCTTGGGAAGCACGACAAACACTCACCGAAGACCGCCAGTCGCAAAACCAGGGGTGTCACGAATGGATATGTGTGTATGAAGACATAAGTGTGTGTATATATATACACATACATACATACATACATACATACATACATACACACATACATACATACATACATACATACATACATCCATATGCTTATTTGTTTAAAACTATGATTAAACCGCATATACCAAGTTATGTCCTACATTTTATGTTAAACTAATACTATACTATACTATACTATACTATGCTATACTATACTATACTATACCATACAGTATACTAAACTATGCTATGCTACACTATACAAAATTATGTTATAAACAGCTCTAATAAACCATACTGTACTGTACTTACATTCTATTTCACTGAGTTTTGTAACATTCTACTATATTGTATGTTGCTACACTATACTATATCTTATTGCGTTGTACCGTGCTATATTATAAAACTGCACTATGTTCGGCTATTGTGTACTGGATTATGCCATATATAAGCGTATTTCTCTATCTTTGCCATGTTGTAAAAGATATGATATGATATGGTAATCTGTTATATTACCTTGTGTTATGGCATATGCAAATATGATATATTATATGGTATTTTGTTATATGATCTTGTCTCATACTATACTGCATTGAATTACATTTCACACGATCCTGTATTATCTTATGCTAGACTATATTGTACTATAAAAACTGCAGTTTTTCTTTTGCCATGATTCACAAGGTATGTTGTGATATGATGCCCTATTATGTTTCATAATCTTGTGCGTTGTCTTGTTATATGATACGATGTGAGACTACGTCGCGCGAATTTATAAAGTTGTTACACTAGACCATATATATATATATGTATGTATGTATGTATGTATGTACGTATGTGTGTATGTATGTATGTATGTATGTATGTATGTATGTATATATATATATAATGCATATATACATACATTATGTCTACATCCCGTAGATCCAGGCCAGACCTATGTAGCACCCGAGGACTTCAGGACGCCATGCCTCGATCTCTTGATTCACTCAGGAAGGAACATCCTGCCAAAGGTCTTTGAAAGAAACACTGTGAAGAACCCACCAAGGCCCCTCGACATTTATTCTATATAAGATGTATGATATATAAATATATATATATGTATATATATATATACACAGAGTATATTATATATATATATATATGGTATATATGTACATAAAATAGTGTTGTATAATATAGAGTAGTCATACAATAGCAACTTCAAAGTGCAACTGTGCAAGTAAATCATACGAGGTTCCAGCGGCTTCCAGGACTTTGGAACGACCATTTCCAGTCCTGGGACGCTTGGCAGCGTTGAAGCTTCGGCATGAGCATCTTGGAAACATCATCAGCTTCGAACCAACTGTGACTTCGATTCGATGGGCCAGCAATGGCCAGATCAAGTATCAAACGAGCCCGAACTTGGACGCACGATGAGCCGGTATCATCAGCAGCAGCTGCTGAGCGATAGAACCAGCAACTCAGCATTATCTGAGTTTCGAAGCACGGCGGGCCGGCATCATGAGCATGAACTGGACATCGTTGGAACCAACAGGCCAGCATGCGTGTTAGTCAACAGAAACCGCATCATGAGCATCATCGGGGCAGGTCATGAACTTGGAAGCACGACAGGCATGCATCATGAGCACGTTGCAACCAGTAGGCCAACATCGTGAGCACCAGCTGGCAAGCTGTTGGCAGCACCATCAACAGCTGGGCTGGGCAGCACCATGAGCATCAGCTGGGAGCGTTGACTCCAACAGGTCAGCATAGTGTGATTGCCAAGCACCGAAGGTCAGAACCACCATGCTAGCATCAGGCGCATCATGAGGGGAGCCCCTGAATTTGGAGGCACGGCGGGCCAACATCATGAGCATCACCGGCAAAGGCCGGCTTCAAGAGCATTCATCAACGAACCACGATTTCGAGCTGATCTTGAAAAGCTATTGACTATTGAGTTTGGACGCACCGCAAGCAAGCATCGCGAGCAAAATCTTGCAAGACTTCGACTTTGCAAGCCAGCAGGACAGCATCATAAGCATAAGCTGGAGCACGTTGTAACCAGCGGGACTATCATCAGCACAATCTGGATGCAGGACCGACCAGCATCGTGATCACAGTTCGCAAAGTACCTGTGTGTGGATACATGATGAGCCAGCATCATTAGCATCAGCTGCAGAGCGTCGAATCAACAAGCCAGCATCTTGTGCGTTTGGAACCACGACTGGGGCAAGGGACTACTGTAAGCTTGAAAGCTTGGCAAGACAGCATCAGAAGCGAAATCTTGCGTTTAAGCTTCGGAGTACGACGGGCCGGTGTCCAGAGCTTGAAGTTTGGAAGCACTGCAGGCCAGCATCATGAGCATCAGTTGGGAAGCGTCGGAACCGACTGGTCACAGGCAAACAGCGTGCCGGGAAGGCGCTTGAGCTCGCACTCGTGTAGTAGTAGTAGTAGTAGTAGTAGTAGTAGCAGCAGATAGTAGCAGTAGTAGCAGTAGTCGTTCTCGTCGTCGACGTTGACGAACGAGTGGCACTAGTGGTCGCAATGCTGGCAGTAGGCAAAATGGCAACAGCACTGGCAGAATCAGTGGACGCAGGATTGACATCTGCATGCCAGTCGTAGCAACCGTCATACGGTTGCAACTAAGGCCTACGCAAAAATTGCAACAGTGCATGCAGGGCAACAAAACTGATGCAGGGACGAGCAAGGTTTCACGTGCTTGCGAGGGTCGGGACCAGGTCGGTCCGTAAAGCTCCGGGAGTCTTGGGCGTTGCTAGCTTGGAATGTTTTCCGGGGTTGCAACCGCCCCCTGAAGCCCATGCAGTCTGTCCTATGGCCACGGTAGAATATGGTGGTCTTTGGAACACTATAAGTTTTTCTATAGAGGGATTATGCGGGGATATACTAGCTGGCTGATGCCCAGCGGCGGCCCCGGTTGCTGCGAAGCGTAAGCAGATCCTGCACGGCAACGTGACCAAACACCATCCCTAAAGGAATCTTCGTCCTTCTCATCCTTCGTGTTGCAATGCTGTGCACGTGCCAATCATGGCTTTTGCAGCATACTATCCTGGATGGATCTGAATGCATGCTGCTTATGGCATGAGCTGCTATGTTGTCAGCACAGCACTGAGCGCCATTGGTGTTTGCAGGGTTCATCAGCAGAAGCAGGGCGTCGTCATTTGCAGTGCATACCTGGTTCCTCCAGTTATAGCATGAAAGACAAACATGATTCACTTCGGATCGTTGTCATAGCATACGCCCAGAGTTGCAACGACGGGCAGAACACGTTGTTTTTCCCACCCGCCAGGCTGACACATGTTGTGCTGGCAACCATTGCTTCTGAAGCTCATGGTTGACCTCAAAGACACGTAATACAACGCCATATAATGCCATTATATCTCGTTTGAAGTTTGAAGGAGCCAGAACACAAACCGTCTCCTGGGACACGCCCCCAAACTTCTGTACGTCACAATGCGCCTTGAAGTCTGTGAGTCTCGGGGCTGGTGTTCTAGATTCTGCGCAAGACAGCCGGAAAAGGAGCTAAGTTCCGTTGAAAAACACTACTCGTTGCAAGAAGATGCCCATGCCATCAAGCCTTCTGTCACGGGCCTGCACAAGAAAGTCTTCGCACAAACGGTACGTAGTACAGTGCTAAGGTTTACCTAGCATGATCGCCTTACCCGCGCGATGTTTCCCTGTTGAATTTGTGGAAGGCGCAGCACCAAATCCAAAAACAAGTGTTTGGGGAGCCACTCGCTTCAGCTTGTAGTAGGATTACGAACAACTACCAACTAAACGCTGCCGCGGCAACGACGTCCACGACTACCACACATGCTGGCCACTTCGGCCGCTCCTGCTGCTGCTGCTGCTGCTGCTGCCGCTGCGGCTACTAC